AAACCCAAAATTCCACAGAACCCCAAAAAAACCCCAAAAAAAATCACAAAGATCCTCAAAAAACCCCAGAAAATTACAAAGAACCCCCCAAAAATCCAAAAGAGCCTCAAAAAAACCCCCAAAATTACAAAGAACCTCAAAAAATCCAAAAGATCCTCAAATAACAAAAAAAAATCACAAAAACCTCGGAAAATCAAAAAAAATCCCAAAAAAATCTAAAAAAAACCCCCAAAGAACCTCAGAAAACAACAATAAAATCCCAAAGAACCCCAGAAAAACCCAAAAAAATCACAAAGAATTTCAAAAAACCAAAAAAATCCCGAAGAACCCCCCCAAAAAAACCCCAAAAAATCACAAAGAACCTCAAAAAAACAAAAAAAACCCCCAGAATCTCAAAAAACAACCCCAACCCAAAAAGCCTAAAGAACCTCAAAAAAACCCCAAAAAATCACAAAGATCCTCAAAAAACCCGAGAAAATTACAAAGAACCCCCCAGAAATCCAAAAGAGCCTCAAAAAAACCAAAAAAAAGTCACAAAAACCTCGGAAAATCAAAAAATATCCTCAAAAAATCTAAAAAAAAAACCCCAAAGTACCTCAGTAAACAACAATAAAATCCCAAAGAACCCGAGAAAAAACCAAAAAAATCACAAAGAATTTCAAAAAACCCAAAAAAATTCCAAAGAACCCCTAAAAAAACCCAAAAAAATCACAAAGAACCTCAAAAAACCAAAAAAAACACCCCCAGAATCTCAAAAAAAAAAACCCCAACCCAAAAAGCCTAAAGAACCTCAAAAAAACCCCCAAAAATTCCAAAGAACCCCAAAAAAACCCAAAAAAAATCACAAAGATCCTCAAAAAACCCCAGAATATTACAAAGACCCCCCCAAAAAAAATCCAAAAGAGCGTCAAAAAACCCCCCAAAATTACAAAGAACCTCAAAAAAATCCAAAAGATCCTCAAAAAACCCAAAAAAATCACAAAAACCTCGGAAAATCAAAAAAATCCCCAAAAAATCTAAAAAAAAAACCCCAAAGAACCTCAGAAAACAACAATAAAATCCCAAAGAACCCCAGAAAAACCCCAAAAAATCACAAAGAATTTAAAAAAACCAAAAAAAATCCCAATGAACCCGCCAAAAAACCCCCAAAAATTCACAAAGAACCTCAAAAAAACAAAAAAAAACCCCAGAATCTCAAAAAAAAAACCCAACCCAAAAAGCCTAAAGAACCTCAAAAAAACCCCAAAAAATTCCAAAGAACCCCAAAAAAACCCCCAAAAAATCACAAAGATCCTCAAAAAACCCAGAAAATTACAAAGAACCCCCCAAAATCCAAAAGAGCCTCAAAAAAAACCCCAAAATTACAAATAACCTCAAAAAAATTCAAAAGATCCTCAAAAACGCCCAAAAATCACAAATAACCTAAAAAAACTCCTAAAATCCCAATGAATCTAAAAAAAGACCTCCAGGAATCCCAGAAAACTACAAAAAAACCCCAATGAACCTCAGAAAACCCCAAAAAAATCTCAAAGATCCCCAGAAAACCTACAAAAATCCCAAAGAATCCCAGAAAAAACCAAAAAAATCACAAAGAATTTCAAAAAACCCAAAAAAAATCCCAAAAAAAGCCCAAAAAATCACAAAGAACCTCAAAAAACCAAAAAAACCACCCCCAGAATCTCAAAAAAAAAACCCCAACCCAAAAAGCCTAAAGAACCTCAAAAAAACCCCAAAAAATTCCAAAGAACCCCAAAAAACCCCCCAAAAAAATCACAAAGATCCTCAAAAAACCCCAGAAAATTACAAAGAACCCCCAAAAAATCCAAAAGAGCCTCAAAAAACCCCCCAAAATCACAAAGAACCTCAAAAAAATCCAAAAGATCCTCAAAAAAACAAAATCACAAAAACCTTGTAAAATCAAAAAAAATCCCAAAAAATCTAAAAAAAACCCCACAAAGAACCTCAGTAAACAACAATAAAATCCCAAAGAACCCCAGAAAAACCCAAAAAAATCACAAAGAATTTCAAAAAACCCAAAAAAATCCCAATGAACCCCCCAAAAAAACCCTCAAAAAATCACAAAGATCCTCAAAAAAATCCAAAAGATCCTCAAAAAACCCAAAAAAAATCACAAAGAACCTTGGAAAACCACAAAAAAATCAGAAAGATGACGCAGAAAACCCCAAAAACATCACCAAGAACCTCAGAAAACCACCAAAAAATCACAAAGAAGCCCCAGAAAACCCCCCAAAACAATCAAAGAATCTCAAAAAACTCACAAAGAACCTTGGAAAAACACAAAAAAAATCAAAGAGAATCTAAAAAAAACCCCAAAAAATCACAAAAAACCTCAGAAAACCACAAAAAAATCACAGAGAATCCCAAAAAAAATCCCAAAAAATCACAAAGATCCTCAGAAAACCACCAAAAAATCACAAAGAAGCCCCAGAAAACCCCCAAAAAATCAAAGAATGTCAAATAACCCCCCAAAAATCACAAAGAACCTCAAAAGAGCTCAAAAAAATCCTAAAGAACATAAAAAAATCCCCAAAATAACCACAAAGAACCTCGGGAAACCACCAGAAAATCACAGAGAACCTCAGAAAACCACAAAAAAATCTCTCAGAATCTCAAAAAAAACCAAAAAGTCACAAAGAACGTCAGAAAACCACAAAAAATTTGGAAGAACCCCAAGAAAACCCAAAAAATCTTAAAGAACCTCAAAGAAATCCCACAAATCCCAAAGAACCCCAGAAAACCCAAAAAAAAAAAGCCACAAAGAACCTCAGAAAAACTACAACAAAATCCTAAAGAATCTCAAAAAAACCCAAAAAAATCCCAAAGAATCTAAAAAAAATCACAAAGAACCTCGGAAAACCACAATAAAATCACAAAGAACCCCCAGAAAAACCCAAAAAATCCCAAAGAACCTCAAAAAAGAGACCCCTAAAAAGATCCCAAAACCCAAAAAAACCCCATTAAGAATTGTGGGGTGCTGTTGATGATTTTGGGGTGCTGTGACTCAGTTTTGGGGTGGAGTTATGGATTTTGGGGTGCTGTTGGTAACTGTGGGGTGCTGTGACTCAGTTTTGGGGTGCTGTTGATAATTTTTGGGGTGCTGTGGATGATTTTGGGGTGCCCTGACCCGTTTTTGGGGTGCTGTTCCCGCAGCTCTCGGTGGTGGGGTACGACCCCATTTTGGGGTGCTGGGACTCAGTTTTGGGGTGCCATTACAGATTTTGGGGTGCAATTAGAGATTTTGGGGTGCCATTACAGATTTTGGGGTGCTGTAGATAGTTTTAAGGTGCCATTACAGATTTTGGGTTGCCATTACAGATTTTGGGGTGCCATTACAGATTTTGGGGTGCTGTGGATGATTTTGGGGTGCCATTAGAGATTTTGGGGTGCCCTGAGGGGTTTTTGGGGTGCTGTTCCCGCAGCTCTCGGTGGAGGAGTACGACCCCATTTTGGGGTCATGTGAGTCAATTTTGGGGTGCAATTACAAATTTTGGGGTGCCATTACAGATTTTGGGGTGCTGTGGATGATTTTGGGGTGCCCTAACCCGTTTTTGGGGTGCTGTTCCTGCAGCTCTCAGTGGTGGAGTATGACCCCGTTTTGGGGTGATTTGACTCAATTTTGGGGTGCCATTACAGATTTTGGGGTGCTGGGACTCAATTTTGGGGTGCCATTTCAGATTTTGGGGTGCTGTAGATGATTTTGGGGTGCCATTAGAGATTTTGGGGTTCCCTGACCCATTTTTGGGGTGCTGTTCCCGCAGCTCTCGATGGTGGAGTACGACCCCATTTTGGGGTGCTGGGACTCAATTTTGGGGTGCAATTACAGATTTTGGGGTGCTGTTGATAGCTTTAAGGTGCCATTACAGATTTTGGGGTGCTGTGGATGATTTTTGGGGTGCCTTAACCCATTTTTGGGGTGCTGTTCCCGCAGCTCTCGGTGGTGGAGTACGACCCCATTTTGGGGTGCTGGGACTCAATTTTGGGGTGCAATTACAGATTTTGGGGTGCTGTAGATAGCTTTAAGGTGCAATTACAAATTTTGGGGTGCTGTGGATGATTTTTGGGGTGCCCTGACCCGTTTTTGGGGTGCTGTTCCCGCAGCTCTCGGTGGTGGAGTACGACCCCATTTTGGGGTGATGTGACTCAATTTTGGGGTGCAATTACAGATTTTGGGGTGCTGTGGATGATTTTGGGGTGCCCTGACCCGTTTTTGGGGTGCTGTTCCCGCAGCTCTCAGTGGTGGAGTACAACCCCATTTTGGGGTGATGTGACTCAATTTTGGGGTGCAATTACAGATTTTGGGGTGCTGTAGATAGCTCTAAGGTGCCATTACAGATTTTGGGGTGCCCTGACCCGTTTTTGGGGTGCTGTTCCCGCAGCTCTCGGTGGTGGAGTACGACCCCGTTTTGGGGTGCTGGGACTCAGTTTTGGGGTGCAATTACAGATTTTGGGGTGCTGTTGATAGCTTTAAGGTGCCATTACAGATTTTGGGGTGCTGTGGATGATTTTGGGGTGCCCTAACCCGTTTTTGGGGTGCTGTTCCCGCAGCTCTCGGTGGTGGAGTACGACCCCGGCACCCACGACCTCAAGACTCTGTCCCTGCACTACTTCGAGGAGCCGGAGCTGCGGGTGGGGCTGAACCCCAAATTCCCTCATTCCCCCCCAAATCCCACACCC